CGCGAATCGTGTGTCAATGATCGAGAACGAGCGATGACTTGGTCGTGATGAAATATCAGTCGAGCTATTCGATCAGTCAGAAATCATTGTAGAAGTCAAGGTTTGTCAAGTCTCATTTACGTCTGTTCCTAATTGTCATACCGAGTTTCCAATCTTGACAGAAACTCGACACTTGCTCTCGGAGCAAATACCGTATTTGCACATGCATATGTCGCTGCTTGGCATTCAACGTGGAGCATAATGAAAATGTAATTAACATCCAGTGGTTTTCCTATGAGATTATAATTATCTCGTTCTCCGCTATACCACGTTCAATCTGCCATTTCAAATAATTCAAGCAACCAGCTGCGCCCAATGTGGGTCATTGAAAACAGAACACCTCCAATCTATATAACACGTCAAAGATATGTGAATGCACCTTAAGCAGAATTTCCCAAATGACTATCTTAGGTATGTATATCTTCAAGTAAAATTAGGTACCATTTCGCACCTTGGTCCTATGTTAATAACATCAGCCACCATGGGAGGCTATGGCAGGATGAGAAAACGTCGTGAAATTAATGGTGCCCGTTATGTCGGCTGACCTTCTAAACGACCTAAGCACAAGGTAACTGTTGTCTCGAATAGCAAATAACACGAGAACTATGACGTTTATTATTCTTTGACATAATTAATAGACCCCACCATAGAGCCATTCGTATTTGTGCTTAGGGTATAAAAATTTTGAAAGCTCCCATCGTTCAAAGAGAGAACTAGGAGTAATTCGTTCCTGAACTTCCACTGTTTTCAATCACCATTGAATCCAAAGGGTTTCGAAAGAACTCCAAAGTTCTGCCCCAGGCGGAAAGTACGAACTTTTCAAATTTTCGCATTGCGGAACCACATCCTAACTGGCTGGTTGCTTTTTGTAGATAATCGCGAATGACTTCTCAGCATTTCAGCATATGCACAAGTTCGTCAGAAGTGATGCAGAATTTCTGATAAATTTACGTCAAGCCTCGAATCTATCTCGAGGCGTACGCGTAAGTACTGTGTATCCATTATATCCATGCAATTTGCGAAAGTACATCGCGACAACTTGAAGTAAGTCGCAGTACATGCGATATCTATTAGAAACTTCATACGCGTAAGTACACCTGCCACGTATGTACACATAGATCAAAGTATGTATACATGCGTGTAAGCATCTTAGGTTAAGTTACTTCGTTTCGCTAATGCAGTTAATTATTAAGAGCTGATTGGCGTACTGTGGATTTTCATGTTAGGGCGGGAAATTTGAATTTATGTGTAATCCCTATGAACGACTTTCGTTAATCTTCGAACATGTAGTATTGTTCGCGTACGAGCTTACGTCGCTGACATTATAATCTACCGTTACTCTCGGAGTGGCTCGCTGTATCCAATTACCGACGGCAAGAAGACTAAGCAGAAACTAGCTTGGAATTGCCAGTGGAATTCTGCAGATCCTAGAAGATAAACCTCGTCGGGCGCACTTTCGGAGTTTCGTCGAAGGCGCTATCTCTTTCCAGCCATTATATCGTTTCGACGATCCACCGTTCGTACACAGCCAAAGTGTACCGGGAAAATAACGTTACGGAACTGCGATGGAGTTTCAGCAAGACTTTCCAATTATTTGCGGACGAATTCGTTTTGCCGCAGAGCCTCGGGAAAGAAAAGATTTTCAGGCTATAGTTGTAGGAAGTGGAGCGGGAACTCGTGACGGGATTATAAAGGTTAACGAGATTCTCTATTTTTTTTTTTTTTTTAATATGAAACGAACGTACGTTTCCAATGTCAGATTTACTATTTTGTCCTGTATCCTTTACTTTGGGTAACAGGAGAACAGCAATAGACCAGATAGAAATAAATACTCACGTACTCACTACTTCAAGGCTTGAAATTTAATCAATATATTCTTCAGGCTGCGCACACGGAATTTACCCCTATTGCTTTTATCGTTTGCCGTGACGTCAGTCTTTTAGGAAATTTATCCTATGTTCAAATCGGGGTGGGAACGTACGTGAGCATAAAGGCATTTTAAATACTTCCCTCTTGCACTCGCACGTACGTTAAATTATGTTGAACGATGTTATGTCGCCTGTCTCGCAGCTGCGAATGCTGGCAGGACCCATAACACCCTCTTTCATCCACCCTCTACTTTTACCCCTTTCGTCCATTATCCACGAAACAGCTCGCTTGCGAACGTAAGTAAGACAAATGTTCCAGGGGTAATTAGATCAAGAACCCAAATCACCCTCTCCTTACGTCTACGCCATCCTGGCCATTAAAAGGATTACGCATTGCACGTAAAATATACGTAGGGCCAAATATCAAAATTAATTAACCCTCTTATGGGCAGCGAAGTGTATTAGAATAGTAAGAAATGTATGTTCGCGAAATAGTCCGTCCGTAATATCAGGGTGCGATAATGAGCGTCCCGGTGACTTTTATCTACGGTGCCAATTACCAACCCCTCAGTTAATTACTGTCAACCTAATTTTCACGACAATCCACTAACCGCCAAACTGCTGCGCGTGGTTTGCACGGCTGCGGGTGTTATATACTATAATAAATATAACTTCAGGTTCTAGCGGTCTCGTTTGGGGTAGCGCTGATTAAATTATGATCCTTAATCGGATAAAAAATATCCGCATTTATCCACTATTTCATATAGGTCATCTCTGTCGTTCTAACTCGAACGAACCGTAACACGTCAGTCTGTCAAAAGCATAAAATATCGAAACTCTTTTATACAATCGAAAAGCGAAATGTCATTCTTAATTAAGTGCCCATTGCCGTGTATTTCGTAGCGAACAAGTAACAGGAGCGTGATTAGAGTCTACAAACATCCCCCTGCAGCCTTTGAAAATATTACAGCATGCCTGCAAGCGTACGCGAAGTCTATTCGATACCAGCTTAAGAGTTTTCTTTAATAGAGCAAACTATATAGGTATATCACATATGTGCTATTAATCATATGTGTAGTGCATGGTCGGAAAGCCAAACAATTAATGATTTCGCCGGACAGTAAAAATGACCATAAAGGTCACTATTGAAAATTCGTCATTAGCATTCAAAGAGATGTATTTGAGGTATAAGTCATTGAGCTATAAGCATATGAGGTATAAGCCTTGAATACGTAGGTACTGAAATCGTATGTGTATATATGAGTATACATAGAACGTGATATTAGAATTGCGGGTATATCACCGAAACTCACCCCCTAGATCTACGGTTATTTCAAGTGCAAATATTATAATTGAATTACGAAACCGCATAGGACTTGCTTACCCTTCGCTACTCATTCTATCCACCCCTAAAGTTTTCGCACGCGCCTATACGTGATGGGGACAATAGTGCGTTAGAGACGTTCACTTATGTAACCAACATGCTTGTAACGGATATGCAAATTTCAGGGTAATCTCTAGAGAGAGGTTAGATTTCGTGATTAATTTCTTGGATCCTCAAAATCATCTTAACATTACACAAATCATGGGATGATTACAAGTAATCTAGAAGTTTTGTGTAAGATCTTTAGTATGATAGAGAAATTTTAAAATCGAATATATTTTTATTTTTTATTTTTTTTTATTCGTAAGGATTCTTATTAATCTCTTTTCATTATTGCTTGTCCAATTGAAAACTTTCAGAAGACGTCAAATTTTCAATTTTTCTGTGTGTTCTAGTTTTATCAGTATTACGGGGAGCCCTTACTTACACTATAGGGCCCTGGGAACTTTCTGGGTCACTGCGAACTTACTATACAGTCTCAGCTGGCAACGGGGATTTTTAGTACCTCGCCATTTCTCGGGCGTTGCTGTGAATCCAAGATAAATCTTGAAATGCCTATGTTGTGCTGTACCCACGACAAAAAAAAATTATTGCCCTACATATCGTAGTATATATTTACTTTCCTTACATATTTGTCTTATATACCAGTACTGTGATATACAACCTATCGTATGACGCCTGGAAAATACTTATTTACCAAGCAGTTCATATAAAATATATATGTGTATATTTGTTAAGCACATTGAAAATAAAAATAGAAAATCTGAATCTGAATATTATTTATAATTTAATTTCCGACTATAGTCAATATAAAGTAAATATCCTATATAGATGAAACTGGTGCTCTTAGACGGTATATACATATAACGTAGCGAGCATTATGCCGAGTACACAAGCATCCATTTCAATTACACTCGGCACGAGAGAAACGCCACACAATTTATCGTACTTACCAAGCCGATTCTTCACACCCCCCAAAGCTCACAGTGTCCTACCTACCAATCCGTACGATTGTACACTCCGATCGAGCATGGTGACAAAGTCGTGGTCTTAACGGGACACCCGTTAGACCGAACGTCCCGTATTTCTAATAGAGCAAAATCCGATGGATGCTCCATTTTTCATATAATTGATCGCAGGCTTAATGTGGGACGCCGAACCGGGTGAGGATGCTCGCACTTAGACCGCATTTCTTTGGTTTTCATCGAGCGACGTATATAAGTACATGTACATGTACATCCGTTCGTTCCTTTATCGCAAATTATCGATTTGCAGTAGGCTGACGCTATTTTGCGATACGAAATTAGGTCGCGCTGAGGACACTGCGGGATATTCAACTCGTAAAGAATGCATAAGCCGGCGCGAAAATACATTCGCGAGTGAGTATAAAGGCGCAAGCGAGTCACTCCATAAACAAGACACCGTAAAAGCATGGGATAAAACTGTAATACAATATTTTACTATGTTAAAACCTTGAGAAAAATTTTCTGCTTATCTATTGTACACCAGGCGCGTGAATGCATTGCATCCGTTCTTTATACACGCAACGTAGGTGGCTGCATATACACTAAAATGCATATGAGATATTATTCTATATTATTCGATCTACAATACAGCTGTTAAGAAACGCACGTTTCATAAACTATAAAGTTTCCTTCTACTATTTAACATGCGAATCTCCTGCAGTTGCAATCTCATTTATTTTCCAGGACCCGTGACAACGGCCAGCCTAATCGAAGCGAATCAGCATGAGGAGGAGACAAGAATGGAAGTGGAGAGGCTCACTGCCGAAATTCGATCACTGAAATTGCAAATACTTCAACTAACCGGTACGTAGTATATCACGAAGTCCAGATAGCACTGTCCATTATTAAATTTCGAAAATGACGTCGACCGGCGCGCTTGTCGAACGCGTCTAATGAAGCCCTTGTTACGTAAACTAATTGTTCGGAAATAATTAGCACTGGCTTGTTCTCTTTTCGAAATAAGCCTCAAGTCCAGTCTCATGGTATCGATCAAAATTGTACATACGTCTGTAGTATATAGCATGGCAGGTATACATGGCTACTCGGGTATGACTTTAAGTAAAGGGAATAAAGTCGAAATGCTGATTTCTCGTGGTAGGCCAATTCATAGAAAGTGATTGGTCCGGGTGGTAAAATTGTACGCAGTCGAGAATAATACGGAGAACGGAAATTGATATTCCCATATATTGCGCGAAAGCTCAGCACGTTACGTGATTGGTAGCTGGTGCGGTAGCGATATACTTGAACAATGCGACGTCGCCATAAGGAGCTTACGTTGTCAGTCGCAGCCGCTCGTGTACGATCTTCCCATATGCGTTGTACCTACATGAACGTCTGCTCCATAGCTTCCCGTTAATCTCGAATCAATACCGTCGTAATCGCCGCTGTGTCCATAACTCGCGAAGTGTCTCCATGATAACAAATAAGCTGACACCGCGAAATAATTATGAACTAGTTTGAAGGTTGAAAATGCTGTTATAAAAAGTTTGAAGAAAATTTACACCTGTGAAAAAAAAATAATATCCAAATCATCCTTACTTTTTGCGATTATATGTAAAGCTCGGTTATTCGCCGACGATGCTTCATCGAATAACATGCTTGTTTCGTTGTATGTGATAATACTTTGAAATTTCTAAAGGAACCGCGAGAAATTTATATCATTTGTAATTCAAATTTTCGCATATCCTCGAAATGGATCATTTAGGCATTTATACATATATACATATGGTTGATGCTAATATTATCTTTTCTTTGCCATGTGTCATTGATTACATTATATGGTTTTAAGCTGCTGTTTCGTTTCTATGGATTTTTACTGTTCGATGGATTTTCAAGTATCCAACAATGGAATATAATATTTTGGTTTGTATTATATTACCACGGTCCATATAGTGAATGTTATATAGCCTCAAACTTTTCATATGTATTATACATGTTATATATGTTGTGATTCCGGTCCATCCATTTCGCGGTTCACATTCTCGGTATTCACATTATTCGTAGCGCGTAATACCGGGATTACTTATAAAAGCTGGTTAAAGTAAAATTTTTACGAGAATTTTTTGCCACCGTGTATATTCATTTTTATTTTCTACTCTCTGTTCTTAATTTTAGTAAATTATTTGCCAGTATGTACAGAGTCATGATATTATGGTGCTGAATAGTAGCAGCTTTCGCTTTAGTGAATTCATAAAAGTTTTGATGTACAAATGTACACCACGCGCATTAATTAAAATACGCCAAAAAGATATTTGACATATTTATTAACCAGTTCATTTACTTTGAACTGCAGCATAATTATTTCCTTCGTTATATATCCATCTACTCTGTACAGCTGCTGTAGGTACTATACGAGATTTCAATTCGATCTATCAGGAATGCACGATCAATAAGAACATCAAGAATTATATATCGCCAGTCGTAGATACGCAAGAGATTTAAACTCAAGGCAGGATCAGAGGAAGAATTTATGTCTAAGCGTAACTCGCCTGAGTGCTCTTTTGGATCTTGAACTTTTTTACTCATCCAAAGATCCCCTCGGGCTCATGTTTTAGTGCCGCGGTGCACAATGCGCCGCCATTACGAGAAAGAGAGCGTAAGTGACGGGATGTCTAAACCGGCGTGGAAAATGTAAAGGAAAGGACAGAAAGAAGACTGTAGGTGTTCTAGGTATAGCCAGTAAAAGAGGAAAGTGTCGTCGTTTGAGAAAAGAAGTGCTACTCTCAGTCTTTTTATTATCCGATCTCCACCTATAACAAAAGTCCTGTCAATACGACAGTGCGTTACCGTACAGCATTTTAACTACGATAACTATCATCTTTCCGGTACGTTTCGTCTACGGTGGATGTACGAGGTGGGGTTCGTGAAGGATTTATTTCACGTGTCAATAGTTATGGACCGAATCGGGTTTCTGGATTTCTTTTTAAAATAGATCCGCGTCTTCACGCCGAAGTCGGAAATACAACGTCTCTCATTTCTAACTCCCGCAAAGGATCCTTCCAGCTGAGCTCAATCCAAACTTACAAGGATCCAGAATCCAATCCGATCGCAAAGTTCCTCGCGAAAGTTTCGACGACAAGAAACGTCGACTCCTTTCGCAGAGGCGAAAACTCGAGAAGTTCACTTCGTGCTTGTCCGGTTCATCCGGCGAGTTTCAAATGTAGAAGGGGTTTCGCCTCTTGAAAAACACTTATCTCCTGCGACATGGCTAGATGTATGTACGTATAAAACCGTGAACCCAGATACAAGTCGTTTGTCCTGAATCCCAGATTTACTAAGTATCTCTATATGTACAGTCTACGTGCTTTTTCGTGAAGTTCTTGTGAATTTACTTCCAGGTGGCCCACCAGGTCACAGCGAGACGTCTTCGGGGATAAATGCCAGCGACGTTGGGGATTGCCTTGCGGCCAGACGACAGGTCCAATTCGCTGAGATCAGTCAGGGTTTACCATTGAACAACGAGTATGAACTGATCGCCTTTAGCCATTTTACATTCTCAAGACTGTACCCGGTGGATCTTGGCCTGGGGAAACGAGTCGTGGAGAAGCCTATAGGATTCAAGCGGAAAGATCTCCTCGAGGCACTGACGAAGGCTATCGAGATTCTCAACAAGAATGTCACCTTGCCCACCAAGTACACTCACGATGACTTTCTGGAGGGCCTATACAGGGTCGAGCCAACGACCGGAACGCAGTACGAGATGTACTTCAGGACGAAAAACTTGAGCAAAAGTACCCAGGTGGCTCCATCTGGTTATACAAAGATCACGTTGATGAGGCCCTATGCGCCTATACAGTTCATCGCTACCGAGAGGCAGCAGCCTAAGGAAAAGGAGCTCATTCACATTATCCTACCGCTTTCCGGTCGTACCAATACATTTCAGAGCTTTATGGATAAGTTCGTTAAAATTGGACTGAAGAACGATCGCAGGGTTCACCTGACAGTCGTTTACTTCGGCACCGAAGGCCTCTCCGAGGCGAGAGCCATCATGTCGAGGGTCCTGATGACCCGTGGTAGCGGCGGATCTAATCATAACTTACGGCTGCTCGCCTTGAATGAGACATTCTCGAGAGGAAAGGGCCTTCGAGTTGGCGCCGAACGTGCCTGGGATGGCGAGGGCGACGTACTGCTCTTCATGTGCGACGTCGACGTCGTATTCAGCGCAAGATTCCTTGACAGGTAGAGTACTTATGTGTATATATATGTACACGTATATTAAATATTGTCACTCCATTGAAAATTCTGTAAATGCAACTCTCGTCCTAGGGAATTGTACATTAGTAAATCCTAATATGGGACTCGCTGATTTGTTCAGTAGACATAAGCAACGGTTTTGCATTCAGGGATTACCCTTTGTTTCAGATGTCGATGGAACACGGCACCAGGTCGCAAGGTTTATTATCCTATCGTCTTTAGCCTCTATAATCCTCACGTTGTGTACACGCTTCAGGGTCGGGAGGTACCGCCGGAAACGGACCAACTTGTAATCTCGAGGGATACCGGTTTCTGGAGAGATTTTGGTTATGGGATGACATGCCAATACAGGTGATTACCATACGAGAAAATATATATTTCATGTAGATGAGATTTCTACGAATCGATAAGCAGCGTCGAGGACGTGCAGGTATCTTTTCTCATGTTAAATCCGATTCTTCGATTGTCCGTAACAGGTCCGATTTTCTGAGGGTACGCGGATTCGATGAAGATGTTGTTGGATGGGGTGGCGAGGATGTTACCCTCTATCGAAAGTACGTCAAGAGTAATATTAAAGTCGTTCGGGCGACGGATCCGGGAATCTTTCATATTTGGCATCCAAAAGTGAGTAACCAAATTTTTATTAAATATATTTATGTATTCACCGGCGTACGGTATCCATATGTCGGTTTGTTTTTTTTTTCATTATCTCTGTAGTAAATTTAATTATTAGAGCAGAATCATTTGTTTATCGCATCCTTCGAATAGGTTTTCAACATTTGATTAGCGTTCAATGTAATGAGATATATGGTAACAGAAAATACGTCATATATTACATACTATTTAACGAGGTACGACGTGAAGGTTACTAGAGATTTTATATTTTTAAAAGGAAAGACAGGGCTTTGAGATATTATAGTCCGATAACGGTTATTGTTCACTATCACGAGCTAAGCCAAAATACTGGAATCACTGATAGTCAGACTTTACGTATGGAATCGATGAATTTATAGGTCGTGAATGTAGCGTGATAAAATGTCAGTGTCATTTTCGCGATATGTGATATTTTCATGACGTCGAGGCGTGTTATTTTCGCTTGACCCAAATCCGTCTGTCATACGGATATATGTATATTCCGGGTTAGAAAATACGATTGTAGTTTCGATCTTCTATTATAAATACGTATATCCTACTATTCTCCATACAGCACAATTCCCACAAATCCGTAGCAACGTCCAGTAGACGTAGAAAAAGTGAAAAACATGATTACCTACAAAAAGTTAGCTCTGATTATATCTGGGTAAAGGGGGATAGAACGTATAGAAACGATAGTACGTCGCTAAGATAAAATATTAATTTCCTATCAGGTTCACAAGATAACCAATCACCTTAGTCTATCGCGATGGTAACGTGATTTCCGTGAGATCCACTAGAGTTTGTTCGAAAGGCATCGCGACGCTCTCGCCTTTAGCTATTTTCGTGTATAAAGTAATTATCGAAAGTTTCCCACTAATAAGCTGCTCATTGATTGGATTTACCAGCAGCGATCTCTCCGTCCCATTGGCGCTGGCGTTTTCGCCTCGTGAGAAGATGAAGATAGACATATTATAGACAGCAAGGTTGTGGTATATAGATATATACGGTTAGAGTCCCTAGACAGTGCAGGGTAACTTAGAGAGAGGGGTGACATCTTAAACCAGCAGGATCATAGGGAATCTCGGGTTGGCGCAACGCTTCGTCGACGCGATAATAGGTTCGACAATGCGCTAGGCCGCGCTAATCCATGTGATGGAATTAACTCCACTGGGTAAATGGGTTTCCTTCGGGAAATTGACATTGGAATGTAACCACAGTAATTTTGATATTGGCCGAATAGTTCCACTATAAGCTGATCCGACGGGATGCTGGGTTAATATTAAATTCCATGAACGTCTGCTAGATCTTCGGGATTACTTGGACGCAATTTCGCATTGTAAAACAGGATAAAAGTGGAATACAGATATACCTTAGATATATCGATATATTGCCATAATATAGTTTATATCTATCTGTATATCCTAGGAGCGGATGTATCTGTATTTCCATTTATTTTTTTTATTTTTATATTGATATTTCTTGTTACCTCACAAATCTACGTAATTAAAGTCCGTATAATAATTACGGTAAATCTCGTAGTTCTACGCGAAGCATACTCATGGCTGTTTAAAGCTCAGTTGCAAAGCGTTGAATCTGAGTACACGAGAGCTTTTCGCAAAAGTTTCAGTCAATCATCAGGTACGGGCAAATATTACGCTACCCTCTCGTAAATAGTGGCTGTTACGAGCTCATTTCGTACTACTCTTACAGAACGAGCGAAGTAGAATTACTGTATTGCAGTCTGTACGTCTCTCTAACTGTCGCGATTAACGTTTGACTTTCTGGAATGGAGCTTTCAGCGTGTGTACTATAGGCATTAGGTTTAGTACAGTATACCGCCACTGTGCAATCAGCGAAATGCCTTTCAGTAAATCTAGCAGCTCCGCTATCGATTTTCTTCCCTCTACTGTTACCAGCCCCTCGCACCCCTCCAAAAATGACTCGCAATCGATTCAATTTGTTTTTCTGTTTTCTATGTTCTCAGGTCTGTTCCGGTGGACCCGGGCAGCGTTTGTCTACCGATCAATACCGAGCCTGTATTCGATCGCGTGCGTTGAACGAAGCCTCGCATGCTCAGCTTGGCTTTTTGGCGTTTCGAGAAGATATCGCAAGTCAGACGCTCAATATGAAGTCCGTTGCGAAGAAAAAGAAGCCATCGGCGAAGAAGGAGAAGAAGAGGCTAACGAAGCAGACGAAGAGTCAGTCACAGATCAAGGAGAAGCCGGTGGGTAGAACATCCAAGGATCAGACTTGATCCCTGACAACGGGTCGATTTGAATTTTGAATGTAAATATCCTGTATAAAAACAAAGGATTTAGTGGCGGTACTGATACTTCGATTTCGAATGCATAGAGCGTGCAAGGTCGTGCTGTTATTTAATTTGTAAAAAGGAAATGAAATTCGCACTGGGGATAAATGGATATTGTAAGAATTGCAGGGAGGACGTTGTTCTAACGATATGTAAACTTTCCTAAGAATAGGCCAAAGAAACTAATCGTTGTATTAGTGGAGATGAAAAAAAAGTCATTAATGAAAATTGATGTTCAGACACGCGCGGATACTAGTCACGTACGAAATTGCATTATTCGGGTAAAACTGAATCGTTGATGATTTCTTTGATATTATTATTGTTCAAAGGTACCGACGTAGATTCGTCGAAAAATGTGTGATTTTTTTTTAATTAGCTATTATTCAATCTTGCGAGAATACAACAACGAGAGCATATCGACGATCTAAGAAAATTGACATTGAGGTAAACAAAGAAAAAGTTAAAAAATTCGTAACTGCTTTTTGGAATTGTGAAAACAGAGTTGTGATCTATCTCCCGTAGGTCGGGAGGATATTATTAAAGATACGCGATCCATTAAATAGGTGATTTATATGAATTTATATAATAAACTCGTTGAGCGAAATGAATGAAGATTTATATTATTAATGACTAAATGCTGGAGGTCAATTAGGATAGGTAAATTGTTGCACTCCATTTCTCAGTCATAAGTCCAATGGACAGTGTGTAAATAATTCGCAAAATCCTTAAACCGCAACGAATTCCTCGTGTTTTCAGAAAGGAATTCATTTTTATTTTTCTTCTTAATACATTTGTTTGTTTTTCCCACTTTTTCTCCTGGGACGTCGTAAAATCGAATATAAATGTACGAATGAACAAAATGATTACGAGGATCGTAAGGGTCCGGGGGTAATTTCTGAGCAATTAATTAATTTTTTTTAACACGGCACAGCAGTAATGACGATTAACGTTTTTCCCTGCAAGAAAATGGCAGCACATTTATAAGAATGCGAGAGTACAATGAATACCCGGTAGTACGTCTTACACGATACAAAAAATGCATTTTACGTCTCACGGTGCACTCGATGCAATATTAAAAAATTCCAAAATAGCAATGATGCATCGTGCAAACTAAAATGCATTTGATCTACTCGTGGCTGCCTGCCGGTAGTCGAGGTCGTAAACGTTAACATGCAGCAGTGAAAAGTACGAAAACTGTGATTTACATATAGCGAAGTTCATACGCTTAGTATTCACGTGTCTATACTGTTGATGCAGCTATCTATATTTATCTACACGAAAAGTGCAGAAATACAGTTGCCGTTTGTGAAACGAAAAAGATGGAGTAGTGCGTGAAAATTGCATACTGCAGCGTCGATGCACTTTTATAGCGACTTGTTATTTTTTCTTCTGTCTTTCCACCTACACGAGGCTGGCATATCGGACACTTTTATTATACCAAGAAAACCTTTTTCAATCTACTTAACCATGGTACTGTTAAGCGTTAAAAATTCGTTGAATTCGCGCCACTCGCAGTGAGAATCGAATTTATTATTAAACACTCCTCGTAATGAGTTCCGAGTGTTATCAAGTTAATTAAAGTTTCACAAAACCGCGATAAAGTTACCATAAACCAGCGGCGTTACTTCGGCCTTGCAGTATTACGTACACACCGAACTTTTGGTCCCTGGTAAAACCATAAACTTTCGAACTACAATCAAACGTGAAAAATTAAACGACCTTGTAGATAATAGAAACTCAAACGTCTGAGTTCGAAAAGTTAACCAGCCACTCAAAATGTAAAATGAATAAGACATTATATACATATAATACGTGGTTTGACAAAATGATTACGAAACAAACCTGAATTGAATGTGCAATTGATGCGAAGTATTTCCAAAAAAAGAAAATCTTATTTTGAGACGGTTCCTTCGTGTCTCAAGTTCGACTCGAAACTCTCACATTCGAATGAGTTAATTACTATTTACCTCTCATTAATAATAAGCTCAAGTAATCCTGGACCTCTGGACCCTTCCGGCGCGACACTCTTACTAATGTATATTGAATGAAAGCATTGTATAGAAAAGGCATGTAAACAATTATAACCAATTATAAATATGCCATCATGTCATAATTACTAAACTTCATTTTAACTTGCTCGAAAGTCTCTTAGGCAGTATCCTGGACGTATACGTCAGACACAGTCGAGTCTCTTACTCGTTATAGAGAATAACAATTTGAAAGAATAATTTACGTAACTAGGCTAAAAGTTGTACTTTAAAAAGTGACTGTCAAACTGGTACCTGCCTTGGAGACCAAGATACAACCTTTATAACCTTTCCCTTTGACGGTGGTAAGTATACTTCAAAAGTTCATAAAGCATAGTGCATGTATATCAGACTTGGACAGTACCTAAAAATGATCAATGAAAAATCCATCACTGTAATGTCCGAGTCATCGTATAGATCCATTAAAGGTATTGAAACTAGTACACCCTGTACACTCGGGTAGTATCAAAAGAATAGGGTACTCTTGGAAGTTTAAAAGTTTACTTGTAATATCCATCCCTTTGGGCAGAAACGTCGGTACGTTCCTTTGATGTCTCAATTTCAGGATTGAGTGAGCTTTACGTGGCATGTAGGTAGATGTATTTAAAGCGTCGATGAAGCGTTGATTCTTTACCGCTCTGTCGAGCTTTGCTCAAGCTCAGTCTAGACTTGGTTAAAACTGGCTTTAATAAAACGCAAACATACTTTTCTGCACTGTTATACATGTATATTGTATATAGATAAATATATGATTTAAGTAAACAGATAGAAGAGCTACTAGCATCCAGATACTTATATAGGGGACAGAGTACGGTCAAGTAGTTTGCTACCCCTTCCCTGGAATTCTTGAGGGTACTGTAGACTCTCTGCACACTTTATGCCTGCTTACTGGGTACTGCTTTAATATCGTCTCTTCGTGTTTTGAATTACGCGCGACGCAGTACCGAATTTCAAAGCTCGTCTGCTACGTTCGTGTTCTGCACATAAAACTAGTCGCTTTACGTGTGGATCGCATTGTGAGAGTCGGGCTCGTCTCTTTCACGGTAAACCTGAAATAACCTGAAATAACGCGACGTGGATGGTATAAGGATGCTGCTGCTGTAAGTCAAGAAGTCTTTTATGTGTTATAGTAGCTACATCGTAACTTTAGCGAGAGTTATACTTTTATATGTAAACAAGGAAACAGCATTTAAAACTGGATCGTTCGCTGTGTACGATATCGACGTGTAATTCGTGTCAGGTACGACGTCGACAGCTAGTTAAGATTTTAGGATATGGATTTCGATCTTATAGTCAACCATACAACGGTAACCTTGTCTGTGCGGATGAAAAGCTTGAAATTGGTACTAGAGAAAATCAGAGTCTTTGAAGCTGGTAAGCAGCTGGTAATACGTGGGAAGGTAAATCCTTTGAAATTTGCAAAATCCGGTTGTGAAAATCTCGGGATATTCGAAAATCCATATAATATACAGCGTAAGAGATAAGAATATAGACGAAGGGGTGGTTCTTGCTAGGATCTTAGAGGGGTGGATCATTGTACTTGAATGGATAGGCTATAGCAGTAGAGATAACCCTGAGACTGCCTTGGATAATGAGTGTATCCATTAAAGGTCTCACGCTGTCATCCATCGTCTTTTGGTTCCTAATCATCAATCATATGACGATTAAACAGGATGTCACGTGGCGTTGGCGGTGTTAAAAGGGTTCTATATTGTAGTTATCCATTAGGCTGATCAGCAAATACTATATAATTTGTATTCACTGGTCCTTTGTCCTTGGCGTTAGATGTTTATTATGGCGCGTCCACAAGAAAAGGGAGTTTCGTATAAGTCGGAGAATTATATATAGAGTGCAGTGGTAAAGCTGTCGGAAAGTAGTCACTTGCTGGAAAATTCCCTTCACGTCTCGAATGGATAACTCAGCTGGAGACAGACCGAAAGTAATGTGGCAGAAGAATTTTATTTGAAAAGAAACGTACAATGGGACAGACAGGCCAACTCCCCAAGGTGGTGGAACGTAGGAATGGTTTTAGTTCGATTCTATATAAAGAAAGTCGATGTCCTTGCTCAACTGGTTAATCAACCTTTCAATAGTAGATTTCTTGATTTCTTTTAAAGGGGTTTCTACGAGAAGGGAGATGTTATCTTCTGGATCTTATACAGATTTGAAGAAAAGGGAAAACTGGTTCTTGTGAAAGAGGATTGTATTGAATGTCAAAATGATCTTCGAACCTGTTTTTTTATGCTGACCTCTGAGGGGATATGAAGAATCGAGTAACTGGCTAATAGCAAAAATTGAAATTGGAACATATTTGTGTGTGTATATATTTGGAATTTATTATATTTGGAATTATTTGTGAGATGATTAGAAGAACAGAATTCTACCAATTAGTTAGATTCATGGTGAGTCATTAACAATTTTAAGAGAAGCATAATTCACACGAGCTTCTCCTCTGGCAAGCTTTTTTTCTCAGCTTTTCGATATCGTGGCTCAACGAGGGTCGGCAGCTGCCGTTAATTGCCATAAACGAATACGTAGAAGGCCAAGTCTCCTATTTTTATGTAACTTTTTCATTTTTTTTCGGTACTCCCCCGCTTTGAACTTTTTGCCATAACGAATATTTGTCCTAGATAACGGTAGACGGATAAAACTTTAATTAGAAAGATTAGCTCAGTTTCTTGAAACTCGACGCTCCAGCGAAGCCTTTGAGATTTCGGGTATATAGCGGCAGACTTCTTTAACTATATGACTTTTCTTCATTCGTTGAACCTAACTCAGGCATACCTAACGGCGAGGAAAAATGGCCTGAAGACCATCCTACTCGTCCTGAAAAAAAAGAACAACGTAAATTTCATATGAAAATTTTACTCCCCACAGTACTGGCCTCACCTTCATTCCCCTTTCACTGTTCGTAACCGCCAGGGTCGACTAAATTATTCTATACTCCCACCGAGCTTTCACTATTTTCGCGAAATCTGGTCGAACTTAAAAAACACGAGCTTCGAGGAGAATCAAATCAATGCTCGGTGAAAGGACGACCGTAAAAAAATCTCTAAGCCTCTTCTCCATCGCCCAAATATTTCTTGGAGACTCGCGTTTGCAAAAACATGAAGGTGCATACCGAATCGCAACGTGAAAGGATTTTATTATGACAGGATCCACGTTCGCACATAAATAATTAGAAATAGACAATCAAATTCAATAAATAGACAATCAAACCATAGAATAAAAAATTTCTTTCAATTATCTTGAGTGGATGAAAAAAAAAAAAATTACAATGATTCACAACTGTAAATTTGGTAATAGCTATTAAAATTTATTAATATTATTATGCAAAAATCATTGTATCCTATCCTATATCAGTGTTGTACCTAAAACTTTGTTAACCTTTTTTTTCCATCTCCCAAAAAACCCACGTCATCCTACCGATCAAGTTTTTACCCAAATCTTAAAAACTGACAGATTATTAGGATCTCGATATAGATCAATACTTATCCTTCCAAAAGAATTTCCTTCCCAACCCCGAGAGCTTATTACATCGATAAGCTCGAGCCACGTAGCGAGGCCTAATTCTCGGGAGTACAGTTTTTAGGGGATGTTTTTGTAGCGAAACGATGATGGCGGAGTTGAGGGAGCGAAAGAGGGTTAGAAGGCTCTCGAGTATACAGGTCTAATTATGATTCTGGCGGTGTGGAAGGTGGACAAGCAATTTGCTATTTCTCTTCATGTACATGGAAAGGATAATTATACCCCCAGTTACGACATATAGTGGCAGATATCAACCCTGATTTTTTTGTCCATTATAAATACCATGATTAACGGAATAACTGTGATGGACCAGTCACTCTGATAAGAGAGACTGATTACATCCACTCAATGAATTTGTGGGTATAGTACCTTGGTTGAATATATAAATTTATCATTTATAAAATAATTAATTATATGCCGGAGTATTTATTAATTGTGAGCATAGAGGAAATGGTGAGGAAATAATTTTATTAATCTATTTAGATCTAGGGATAATCCCTAGATAATCTAGATATATGTATAACGATTATAACATCTCCTCTGTAACTGCTACTGTACCAACATGCACTGTATGGACGATAAAAGGGTAACTATACGGTATTGGATTTTAGACTGGAGAAAGACGTTTTATACGATAACATTCATGTTCAGGGATGATTGTTTTCATGATTGGAGGGTATTCGTGCTATCGCATGGAAAATTCCCTAATTCAAGCCCGCTGAGCACAAAAGCATAAAACGATTTAGCCACGTATGACATTTGGCCAAAATCCAAAATATGTGTTTAAGAATGATTTTTCGGTTTACAGGGTGCTTATGTTATCTCTTGGAACCTTTCCAACGATTGAACAACTTGATTCCCAAAAAAGACTCAAAATTTCAATCTTCAACGTTCCAAGCTTTAATGAGGTCTTTCTCATTAAAACAAAAATAAGGAAGAAAAGGAAGCACCAAACAGAATAATTCCTCCCTAATTAGGTCGAGAGGGACTCTTCTCGTTTGGCAAGTTGAATTTTCCAGCGAGGAGATTCTAAAAAAGAAGCTACCTTAATAAATTTCAGAAAAGGCTTCTTCACCTTAATTTACTTGGCCTTGTAAGACTTGCAATATGCCTGAAAAAGTTCACCCAGCAGTAGCATTTATATTGTAATAAAAGTGTGGCCCCTGTGTAACTGCAGTATACGTCGCATGCCTGCAAGCAGGGTTCTCTGCTTTCTACAGACTTGCACATGGGTCGTATGAATAAGTTCTGCAAAGATACAAACTCACCATATCTATATAAACGTAACGAGAAAGTGGATCAGAAGAAACGGCGAAGCACGTGGCAAGGTACGTATGTCGAAGTCAGCTTTTCATTCGTCCGTAATAAGTAATGCTATACGTTAGTGAAAAATAAAAAAAGGAACATTATAGAAGTTTATATTAACAAGAATATGATTCTGCAATTAGCGTTGCGTAATTGGTTGTATTAATTATTTAACGAACGTCAAAGAAATTCAAGTAGAAAACATGCAGTCATATTCACACTTCATTCATCCATATGGATACACCTTTACATTCGCTAGACCTTATGAATCGCAATGGTGGAACATTTGCGGATTTTCCTACTTGCATTAGCTTCGTATCCCTTGAAATATGACAGTAATCCACCGGATTTTTGTATTTTTCATTTGAAAGTTGCTTTTTAATGGACATTCTGAATTCTACAGTTTCATGAGGCAATTTCGCGGTCGCCGAATGTTACCATGAAATCACGTGGTTTTATGGTTTTAATACTGACGGTGGATATTAATTGCAATTTAGTCGCGTGTTGCTTGCAGCATATACATATAGGAAGAGGAGAAAATCAATTTGTATTTTTCGCATAGTCAATTACGCAAACGTACAAATATATATATATATATATATATATATATATACAGGGTGTCCCAAAAGTAATGAACCTCCGAGTGTAGGGACTTAACTGTATACATATAAACTGCCTGAATTTAACTGATTTGAATTTTACATTTTACCTATTATAACCGGAAAATAACCACGATGGTTTCTATGAATTTCGAGAATGGAATGAACGGCGACAGGACTTTCCTGTGGGAATCAACGAAATCCTGTATTAACGATTCGCTTTTTATTCCCGCGGCCATCATTCGTGTGTTCTGCTACAGTGGCGAGAGTACGTATGCTCCGCGCGTTTCCAAGGATCAGCGAAATGAGTTTTCGAATGATAGGTACTGAAAACTTTTTATGAAATTCTATTGGTGATTTTTACCCGGATTTATAGTTCCTCCCGGAAGCAATTGATATAATCTGATATCGTGTTATTTTTCCACTACGAGGATTCTCATTGTAAACTTTCATATCTATCTATATATCTTCGTTATCGTTAAAACCGACAGAATATGAAAAAAAAAGAATTCAAAGATTCTTTTTCCTATGATATTTAATTGGACATTCATTTACAACCAATAAAATAGAAATTCAGACTCTAAAATCTGTGGCGAGAAACACCTAGAATGCAAATTGGACTTCCGACTTGTAATAAAAAAAAAAAATATTGGAACACCATATTTTCCAAATTATGCATCATTCTAACCCATGTTACATAGTACAATTCCACATGTTATAAATATATTGGCTTAATATTTGACGACGAACGATTCATATCATCGCCATAGCTACAATTTTAACACAGTTTTTTACGACTCACACTTTACGACTATTACGCGTTAACATCCTCATAAAGATCTGTGCATGATTCACCATGCAATATGGCAAAGGCTTTATTACAACGAACGATCATAGCACAGAGTAGTTAATTTTCTGAGTAGTCTGTCGTCAGTTCTCACATTTTCTAAAATAAATCAAGAAAAAAAACAATGAGCTAAAAGAAACAATTTTACCTGAATTACCTGCCTCCGTGAGATATTCCAAGCAAAAAAAAAGTCTCGACAGTGTTCCCTGCGAAGATGAAGAAAAAAGCGGTTGTATCTTCAGCTTAATCGCATAAATCATTTAAAGACTGGTTTAATCATTGAAACATCTGGAAGAAGATACGCAGACTCATCGCGAATGGTTAACATTATTTTTGCAGCATCCCTTCAGAGGAATCAGCAAGAAGCGAAAGATTAATTTCATCATGAAGCTAACAAAAGTACATTGGTACCTATATATAGCGCAGGTCTTCTTATCTGCTGCCATTTGAAGCTGGTAAACGGATCAGTAGAGTGTTCGTGCACCTCTTTCATAGCCACTAACCCTTTACCACCCTCGTAGAGCCTTAACCACTAGCCGTCCACGCTATACAGCCATGCTCGACACGCGGATTAAATTCATTTTCCTTTTATTTTGCAGTTTCTCCACCTCCAGAATGAAGGTAGGTACCCAGTCGATTGGATTCCATCCCATAGCTTCCACTCTTTTTCCCATTCCAACTGCAGCTGTTTGCCTCCTTGAAAATGCCAGAAAACCGTAGACTCGTCTCCATGAAACAAAACCCGGAATAAAACAGCGATCTCTTAGATAATGTTATACTGTGTATTTCAGCAGTAAGGACAATACTCACTGATAGGATTCAGGAACTGACAAACATTCCTTTCGTATCCGGACTTGATCGCACACCAATGACTGGTTCCGGTAAACGAGAAACATTTCATCTGGACTCGCCCTGCTCCTCAGTCTGCGCCGAGTCGAGGAGTCTATTGGTTTCCAACTGCTTCCATTTAACCCAGTGAAGCTTCGGGCGTAGTGCTACATAGAATTGCTGATGGTCGTGGTTTCTAAACCATGTAGCCAGTAGCCTGTATCAACCTATTTGAAGGAAACTAGAGATGGGCAGAACACCTTAGCTCAGCAACAAGCCAGGATGATTAGAGATCGGATAAGAGCTATCGAGTCGACGTACCTATCTATGTATATAGATATAGTTGCATATATATGTATAACTGTATATACCTAACCCAGCTCCATGGCGAATTCGATGAATCGACGTAGACTGATTTAACGCAGAGTTACCTAACCGCCGCGACGCCGACGCACCGCGTCTGCTCATGGCTCGTAAACTTTGCACCAGGGTGGTTGATTAAATCTCTCACCGCGATGCCACAGCACATTTTCACCCGGCAGGTTCAGCGTAACAGCCTGTCCACGGACGCGAACTTCGCTTTGGGCTTTGATTAAATGCCTATCCCTTTGGGGATTACGTAATGGGATATTTTTATGCGAATTTTTCGACTCTGTACCGCTGAGGTCTACGTGTATGAGCTTTCGATAAAAATTGGCCGGATTACGTATGGTTCTTTATATTCGTAAGGAGGAACCGTTAATGATAAGAAAAATCGATAGCACCGCTATAAATTCCGAATGGGACGCTCGTACAGTGTGGCTCGCGTGAATTTTCAAAAGGCTTCTCAAACCACGTCACGTTTTCTCCATAACGATAGGATGGATCTCGGGCTCGTGGACGAAAATAAAATGGCGCCGGGCTTGTAAGTAATTTTAAAGCGACTCCAGCGCCAGTTACCGCGATGCTTTAATGTTGACACTAACCGTAACCGTAACCAGTTGCTGGATGGCATGGCGTCATTCGTAACTACCCAGCCAAGTGGCTCTGATGTGGGTATCCCGAGAGTGTACTAAAATAAAATGGCAATACTTGAGTAATGCCCTTAACCTAACCGAAGAATGTGGAGAGTGTATCGTGAAGCGGGGTTGTAACGATCCTAGTGATATTTCCTGAAGACCTCGATGAAATTGAAACGAACGGAGGAAGGTTATCACGTACATTCTTATTGGATGCAAATCAGAATAACGGTACTATTGAATTCGTGAAATTATCATTATTTGCGTTTATTCGAGGCATCTTAAAATTGCTGTGGTATATTGGAATTTAGAGGAATTTTTATATATTTTTTTTGTGTCATCTTACTTCATTTATGAATATTTTTCAATCGCATGTTACTGTGATAGGTCATTATGATTTATATTTTTCCGGTCTCACTTTGCACCCTTTCACATAGAATTATAGCATATATCTCTCACACGTACTTAAAAACCCACTTTTGGTGCAAGGAAAGCTATTTCCTTTGGCCGCCTCAAAAGAATGCGAGCTAAGTAGGTGTAATTGATAAAAAAAGAAAATAATATCAGTCTACGGTGGAACACACGTATCTGAAAATTTGCATCATCCAGCTCGTATTTCTCTTGAAATTGCAGTAGCGATTGTTCGTTGGAATTCTGATACTTTATTTTTCCCCGTTGATGTTTCAACTTACGACACGGTCATACGAGTCTTATCCAGGATTTTTGTTATATTCCAAGACACGTAAAAAGTGAAATAGATTATTTTTTTAAATTATATGCCTCAAACGTTAGACCTATACAGTGTATATCCAGATCACTTTATGAAGTAATAATTTATGAAATTATACGGGACACCGGATTTCGCAAAGCTATTTATTACCCACTAAAAACTGTAATAAGTCTGCACTTGATTCCACCGTGCCCCCAAAGTAATCTAAGTAGATATAACTATCGATTATTTATTTCATTAAAAAAAAATTTATCAATTTTCCATTGTTTCGTTCCAACTAAAATCGTATCCAAAAAAGTCAATTTAAACCGGCCGTCTTATCATTTGCGAGTCCACCCCTGCGCACTTCCTCGCCCTATCTACGTGAACCCTCTGCCCCAGCACTCTTGGTGGCTTTCATGAATATTCGGCCCTCTTTATTACAGGTTGAACATGGTAATGGATTTTCTCCCAACCCCCACTCACCTCCTCCTTTCTTTATCCTTTAATTTATCCCCTCAGCAGGTTTGTTTCTTGCCTCCTCAGCAAGAACACTGCATCCCCGATGGTGGTACATAAGTACACATAGCACTTCTATAGATACTATACCTATATATATATATATATATATAGTATGTACCATAAGCATTCACGTTGAAGTTTCTCTCTCGTGTCACTCTGAACTTCCCCCGTAAGACTCTGTAATTTACCTAAAAGCTAATAAAGGAGTAGCTCCATACCCATAGCAGAATCAGACAGTTTTATTCCATATTAATAATCCAGTAAATTATAAATATTTCCACGATAAGGAAGACTTATGTTATGTATATACATATATACAGGCACTCGACCCGAGCTAGTTCTGCCAAGCATTTTTGAATGATTAACCATGTGTACCAGGATCCTTCTACCCTGCCCTATTCTCTTACCCTTTAGATGTCATACTTCATCGTTCCTCCTCTTCAGGTGCTTCTATTTATACAAGAAGATAGAGACATGCGAGACAATGGTTATACAGGTTGGTAGTGTATACATATATACATTTAATATAAAATGGTACAATTAGTCACGAGACTTTTAAATTGACTTACCCACACGATGTTACGTATGGTCTTTCAAAGTTTCGCCAGAGGAATAGGATATGACCTGTGCCTTCTTTTTCTTGGCGACTTCTAAGCGCCTTCCGACTTCGAAGAAAAGTGGTTCTGCAGATGCGTCCTGCACAAGAAGAAAAAGTTACCGTGCATCAAACGAAATACGCCCTTAAAGGACGTGGAAGGAGTTCTATGGGATGCTGCGGCAAAGCGAAATTTTATGGAATTCATTTATTCGAAAGGCTTCACAGTATAATTCATGACGTCTTTGACCATGCCTACTGAGATCACTAAGGTTTCAGTACAGAAAGTGAAATTAAAAGCGTTTCCAGCAGCGAAGGCGGTAAAGATCTAAAAACATTTCGGTTGTTCTTTATTTTTTGAAATTTCATGGGCATTCCGTGGGATAAGGGATCTGCGAATAATTAATTTAATACAGTAGCGAACAGTATCTGAGTATATATATTATATACTTTGGTTTATTACTCATTGATGCGAAACTTCCAAGCATACAATATTAATGAAGTGTATAAAGCAGTATGAAACTATCAATAAATTGGAAATTCCGCGACTCAAAGTATATCTATAAGTCATACAGGTATTCAAAGCTACGCATCCAAATATAGATATATTTGATATTGGCCAGTGTCTGTTATATTATATTCCACTAGGAATTAATGAATCGAAGGTAATGCGTCGTATCTTACTTTCAGTCCATTGCCTTCCCTTAGGCATTAAGTGTATGTCTTCGAACGAGAATTAATGCACGAAGCTTCACACTAATTTTACCATAAAGTCGGACCCACAGTCTCAAACAGAATTCTCATGGATGTCAGGTGGTATATCGTACGATAAGAAAAATAAGTAAAAATAGAGTAATTAGCCAGTTATAAAATTCAATTAAGTCAAACTCATATACGTGTATGTCAGACTATGAGACACTGTAGGCAATTCGTAAGGCGTGCCTGAGAAATAATTAAAGTGTTACCGGGAAGTCCCGGTCAGTGATCCGCAACGAGCGACCGACTCGCCCAGCGCACGCGATACACATTCGATCGTCAAAATTGAAAATTCCATTAACCAATCACCAGGGTACCAGGCGATTATTCTCGACTAACTAAACGGCATTTCCTTTCCTTAATAATTGTCAAAGGTATGATAATCGAGGATATAGGAAATTTGTGCAGGCATATTACTACCGCCATATCGTTAAAGCCCCACGGCAATTTCACGCAGATAATTAGGTCGGTTTGATAAATAGATTGACATATACGGAGTATTAATAGTACGCGCGACCATATATTACAGCGCTTAGCTTGATTAACGTCTCCAAATGCAATGCATTATTGCAGTGCACGCCACTGAACATGCTGCCCAGCATCCCTTGTATATGGCAGGGGTGCAACACTCGTCCCCGGCTTGGCTTCGCGCCCCTGTGGTAGCTGCTGTGGCGAGTGGGGCGTCCGCTTATTGCATATTCCACGTATGGGGCTATCATGCACATGTGACCAACATCACTGTCACGCGTGACCGTCTCTGCGTGACTCCTTATCTGGTAGCTTCTGCTTCCACATATCCATCGTTATATTCAATTCGACGATAAATTTTTATCAATTTATGCCATCGACCATAATCCTTTAAACGAGTGGTCCATAACGACCTCAGCCTCCAATAGAAAATCATATCTACGTCATACTGTATAGAATTCATAGTAGGTTTAGTCTGTCACTGAATGGAAGAACCAAATAAAGAGGATATGTATTACGTAAATTCGTTAACCTCATTCGTGGAACAAGTATTTCCAATGAATTTTAATGACGATCAAAATTGTGGGTGAATTCAACAAATTTTTCAGATTCACCCGGATGCACTGATACTTTAGTAAAGCCGGATTTAATATGATAAGGTATACGTATGTATTTCATATGTCAATATATTGATGTATATGCCAACTGTGGTTTTATATTAATTGCGATATTTCTATCGGGTAATTATTATCTACGCGAATACAGCTTCTGGTACGTATATGAAGACGTATGGTTATTTCACATTGGATCTCCGCCGGTCACCGTTGATGAATAATGCGCCAATTGTCGTTCAAACTTCATTCCAATGCACGTGCGAATTTCAAGAGAATATCGAGCAGTACTGGACCTCCTATTAGAGCAGTGCATATTGCTACAAGTATCGCGGACGGGTTAATGCAGCTTGTACGATCGGAATTGGATGAATTTTAGCCTACTGACAATTAATCGGATCGGTTATTACACAAAGGCATAATTAGAAACGTGACTGGATAATATTACTGAACAATAAACAGGTTACTCCGTTCGTCATACACAGATACAGAAATAATAAATGTACATTGTCGACGGTCCAGATAAATGGAGAATTAATTGGTTGAAATCACAATGGCAAAATATATACTATCAGTACCTATACTGAATTCTATACTATACAAACAAAAGATTTTTAATTGGATCTGACATTGTAATTAAACCAATGTCAAATCATAGACTACATATACGTACATATACGCAGCACTATAGCCTACAGGCAAACACTTCTTTCTCGACCGTTAAGTTAGATTAGATGATCTTGTTTCTTATTATCAAATCACAATAGCCTCGACCGATCGCACCTGTCACTGTATACGTGACCTCGAATTTTACGCATCTTGCCAATCTCTGGAGTTAAGTTTTTATTTTGTTAATTAAATCAAGGCTTTCCATAAAAGATAAGTAGTATACTTGGCTTAAGCCGAGCGTGGAAATAAAGTCTGAAGCATTTCACGAAACTCAGTATCGATATTGCGGAATTGCAAGGACAAGGTAAAGAAGCACTTTGAAATTTAATAGGAATTAACGCGAGACTGGTGGGTCTTAAAGACGTAGCTATCTTTCAGACTTGAAACAACGCTAGGCTACGGTGAATCATCTAGTTATCCAATTAACGTCCGTAGTGCTAGTTTGAAATCATTAGCCGTGGCAACGATCTCGAACAGATACTAATTAAAGGATAATGTTATATACATAGTACCCCTCAAAGCCATGACAATCTTTTGGAACGACCTATACCACTTGAAATTGATTTTCATAGGATTTAATATTTTATGTAGAGATTTAGGTACTAGGTGAGATTGCGTATATCGAGTTTTTTTTTGCAATCTCGTGTAGAATTATAAAAGTTTATCAAGTATATTTGGCGATCTTGAACAGCCTTTAAGCATTTCGCAAAATTGTTCCGGAGGGCATTCTACAGTTTATTAAATACATTTTTCACCGTCCAAAAGCCTCGGAGCTTTTAGGCAAGCGAATGCCGTTAGTAAATCAGACTTTGCGCTTAGGCGATCCGCGCTGCGAAAAAAAAAGGTAAAATTGCTTAAAGGATGTTTTCGTCATTATGAAATAAACTAACCTTGATCTTGGTGGGTTCATCCTCGCCGGAAGACAAGTGACAAAAATCTCACTCGACGTCGTTGAGGTATCAAAGGAAAGACGCGGTAAATTATTATTAGGCGACTCCGTCTCGTGGAAACGTTGCAAAAGGCCGCACTCTCAAATTTCAAGGTGGCTCGTCATGTCGCTTTTTTTTCTTCATTTTGAGATAAAGGCGATTTTACGTTGTTCCAGAGGATTCACGGAAAAAAAAACATGAGGATCCTTTCAACCGAGAAACTGAATCTGTCTGTCACTATATATATATATTGGAAGATATATGAACGTATATACAGATATAGAAGGTTATATGTATTTATGCCCATATACTCTGCATACATATATATTTAAAAATGAGCTGAGAGAATTCATAAGAGGTTTTGAAAGAGGTCGGGTATGGGTGTCACATTTTATAGAACGCGAAGCCTCCGCGATCCTCTTTACCGCCGAGCCTCCCGAGAGCCTCATAAATTGCATGAAGTTTGCAGGCGAGAAGCGCTACTTTCCAGTGGTGTCCCGGGTTACATGACTGTTCTCACACATCCGACTGCTGCAGAAGTCCGAAGAATGATGACTGGATCTGCGCAATTTTTATTCCTTTTTTTTCGTCTCAATACTTTTTCACCATTTTCCTTCATACGCATCCTATACACCACGTCAATCGACAGCGACAACTCGCCACGTGTCTGCGTACACGAAAACTTGTATTATCCGAGGTAAATCCGTGAAGTAAGAAAATTATAGAGAAGTTTACAAAGTGTTGTAAAAAGTTACAAAACGAAAGTGTGCACTTGTACGGAACATACCAAAATCAATTTGTATAGGTGTATTAAAAAAAATTATGTAACTTGTAGCATAGAATTCGTTAGAAATCTTGAATTTATTATATATCCCACTAGTCATCGTACGCGAATGACCGGGAGGTATGGAATATTCAATTTCATTCATAATTGCGTGTCGAGTCGCGCGAAACATGAGTTGTGTCCACAGTGTCGGAACCGACGCGAGTGCTCCCGGAAATTTTGACAAAATAATCACGAAATCCGTGTGGCTAATGCGGTCAAGTCTGGTCAAGGCTTCGTTAAAAAAAAAAAACACTCCAATTCCATTGTTGTATTAACAACGCATGGACCTGTATGAATAAATTTGCAAACAATGGAAGGGTTGCGTCAAATACTCGTATAAGTACTACGTCTGTGTTTTCATTTCAATGAAGTGCCGCAAGACGTTTGAGCCTTTTGACATCTTAATGAAAGTTGCCACCTCAAAGAGCCACGATCCCTTCCTCTTTGCCATCCAGTAGCCGTCTGGATCTCCTTTAAGCCGCACTTTACCCAAAGAAATTAATCACCACCCCAGTCGACCATCTTGAAATATTTTTCGAGGTCAAGTAACCAGGCAAGAAGGTCGTCGCAAGGGGAGAATAATCGATCAAATTAATAATTAGCCTACTCCGAATAATTCCTCAATGAATCCCTTTCATTTAAACAGTCGGTACCGTATCTCACTGTAATATCCTGTTTAGAGAGTGGTATCGTATCTATATTATATTATAAGAGGCAGGTAGGCGGTTGGCCATCGTGTTTACGGTCGTGTACCTCCATTGCAAAATAGAGGCTTGTAAATAATTCCGTTTTGCGCAGTAATATCGAAATTGAATAGCTTGTAAAGAGGATTGGTCAATGGATACCGGATAGCTTCTGAGTTCGACGTTGCCTTTTTAAATTGCACATTCGTATCTGTCTTGATCGAAGGTCGTAAGTTAAACGCAATCAGGAGAGCATATATGTACATGATATATATACCTATACTTAGAATATAATATTACGATAGACGTTGTGCAAATCGGCCAATTATAATAATTGCTTGACCATGCTCAGGGGCTGGCTCGAGTAGCTACCTCGGGAAATGCCTATTGTATTTCTCAAAGGAGACTGGTGCCGTATGAGTAACTTTACTTATCAGGCAGCAGGGTTACGTGCGATAGGTATTTCAAGCGACCGTTGTGAAGCCTGTAACGTGGTCCAGGATCGCGATCATGAAAGGCAAGTTTGTACGTTGGACAAGATAGAATTCAGTTGCGGTGGCGCGAACCGTGACGCCCTTCTACTAGAATTCCCCATGCAATTCCAGAGTTTCCTACTTCCTGCCTATAGTCTAATTTAGTTACCTGTTCGTACAGTTTGCCACTCAAGTGCCACGCGTTACCATGACTATGCGGTTGGTTATCGAAGGTAACGCAAATCTGTTGAGGGCTGCTCGTATATTACTACTGAAAATAGTGATAACATTGTTATACAATATGAAACTTTGGTGAGCTTGTAAATCGACACTTCATTGACGGATTGCGAGGCAGTGACCGTAAAACAAGATGGCTAACACGTCTCTAGATTGAATCTTGGCGCTCTGCTAAGTCGATTCTTTATGCTTCATGTTCTTCCACGCCTGCCTGGACCCGCCGCTGTGATTTATTGTCTCGCGGTAGCGGAATAACGAAAAGTAACGATGGGAGCCAGAAAACTGAGGGACTTTGCTTACAATTAGCCCACTGGGTTATTCAATAGTTGACCGTAGTGCACTATTGGAATGAATGCCAAAAAAAATAATAATTTCACCTACACAATTTTTGGAAAAATATATTAACGACCATACAGGACCTTGCAAAAATTACATACAGAAGTCATTAAATTAATCTACTCTTAGTCGAGTATCATTAAAGCGCCGGTATTAAATAAAAATTCAGCAGTTATACGAAGCATTACTTTTCAATATCATACTATCCTGCAGATTGTCTTACCTTTTGGATTGCAGCATCCACCTGCAGGATCAAGAAACAAGACGAGCACGTATCGTTCCACAACGAGTTTACAGGTATACTAACGAGAGTTGAGGGATGTACAAGTGTTGAGTAGCCAATGGGGTGGGGGTAGGGCAAGGTTAACGGAACCTATAAAACGACCAGCACCTGCTAAAAACCTGTCCAAACCGTAGAGCGACTCGGTCGTGTGGAAGCGCGGATAATATCGAAGTAAAGGAGCATTCGGTGATGGGAATCCAGTGCTGACGCTAAGGCACGAGTGATATATTCGCGTGTGTGGCGAGCAAGTGCAACAAATAGCAATGGTAAGTCATATAGTGCAGAATAGGATCGATCAAGGTAAATTTAATTAACCCGTCCATTAGGTCGAATGAACTCTCAATCGCATATAGATATCAGAACATTATACAGTGTCGTACGTATAGTTTGCTCTACAGTAAAAGATCGATGGATGTTAAATATTTTCTTTAAACAGAACATCTCGGGTTGCACATAATCCATGAGCTTTATTAATAGAAACAGCTGAGCAGAGAAGGTAAACCAGTATTGATCTTTGATGCTAATAGAAATTGATGCGCATTACGCGGTAATGTAAAAGCTCTGTTGGCCATTTATAACACGCTACTCCGAGTCCTGAATAACGAAGCGTCTGAAATACTTCGTACGTCAATGCTAACCGAAGAAGCGTGACTGAGACTTGCATGTATCTTTGATTGGCACGACTGGAAAATGCAATTACTGCCATCTGATCGCATTCGAAAGCCACTAGCTGAGACGGGCTTAGTTCTGCAACAGGGATTACCACTCTTTCTAATTGAGTTTGCAATCAATTCCATAAGCCGTGCGAGAGAATGAAAGGAAGATGAGAAAGACATAGACAAAAGGAAAGGAGGGTAAGGTGTCCTTCCTGTAGGAAAAGTACCTTTCAGACTTTAGATCATTAATCTAGGATTAGTGTATCCTCTCCGCGTCCTACTCCCCTGCCTACGTCGAAAGGAAGAAAATGAAAGGGATGAAGATAGAAACGGAGTATAGAACGAAATATATAGATATATCGGAGTCTGCAGTACCATCCGATACAATCGATCTTAAAACGATGAGATATTTTTTCTCTTGGCATTTTTGTAACTTCGATCCTTCCTCGCTAGACCAGGACTCGCGAATCGAGGATTGGACGATCAGTCGCGATAAGGGTGATTATATCGCAGGTCCTAATCAATGTCGATTTTTCATCATTAGAAATCGGACTGAGCCGTAATATCGCAATTGTACGTACTTATGCATATATATATACATAGCTATAATATATATATTATAGCTATAGGCATATATATAGTTATAGAGACACTTGGAGAAACCGTATTGAAATTTGCTACAACCGAGGCAGGAAGACGCTCGACGTTCTCGCAAGTGGCGAATTTCCGAAACTTGCCAGTCTTGGAAAGTCGACCCAAGGGCACAAGTCGTCTCTAGGAACTTGGCTGACATTTGACTCTTCGTGGGGATAAACCAGCCAAGCATTATCCGGCTGCCATTAACGTCCCTCTTAAGGACCCCTCTAATGAACTCAACTCCCGCGTGTAATTGTTTAAAACTTCGCTGCTTTATTCTCTGTTAATGTCCCTTATCTGGCCAACGAAGACGAAGCGACCGGGAACAATGTGGAGAATCAGGAAAAAAAGGAAGAGAAACGATCTCTTTTACGCGTTGCTGCAATTGTCCCAGTGCAAAGTTGCCGGAAGCTCAACGGCGAGGCTTGGGCTACCGTTGAGCTTTAAGCCGGTATCACGCGGCGCGACTTAAAAGCGATCGATCAACGATGTACATATAGTGCACAAGCCGACGCCACCGTCCCGACGCTTTAACCCGGTAAAAACAGTAACGCCTCTGCGACCACTTTCCCGAATAGACATTCCACGTTAAAATAGTACCTGCTGGCATCTCTCTTCTATCTATTTAACGTTGAACCTTATATATATTTTATCCAAAATGGCCACCTCACTGCAGACTCCGTCAAGGCTAAAGTGCAGACACTATTGGATGCCACGATATTAAACAATCCTTCTCACGCTTCAGTTTTACAAGGAAAGTCCGTACAGGCGCTTGCGGCATAATGAGGGCAGATAAAATCGGACCTCGTGTAAAAGCTTCGTATTTCTCCTACTCATCCAGACGAGTACGACGCCTACTCGTAACGCGAGCGTTAGTCTCGGTAATGACGACAGTCGGCCATTCAAGCGTTTGCAGCAGTCTGCTTTATTACTTTGCTTTTCGGGTGAGGTGTACAGTAACGATCGCACTTATTCAGGTTAACGATAAAAAAACAGAGACACTAAACTATCGATATCAAATGGGTTCGTTAAATCCTTAAGACAACATCGTTTCCGTAACGATACGTTAAATGAGAATTCATAATGCCTACATAAACATATAAAGTTTCGTATAAAATAATCCTTTAGGACTATCGTTAATGGGGAAACTGTTGATCATAGATTTGTCAATGATTATAAATCTGCAATCTGCAATCTGCTTGTATCGAGCTCTCGTTAACATAGAATTCTAATTGCACCTATAGGTTTTACATTCTTGTCCTTGATGATTGTGTACGATTTTATGCTTCAATTAGCTCCACCTCGCCTCGCTTGGCCTGATTGCTGCCACTATGTGGCCAATCTCGACATTGATAATTTTATCATCCGTGTTAATACTCACATTCCTCCATGGTATACGTCCCTATGGAATATGGCCTATTGTCCTGCGGTGACGATTCTCTTGATGACGTAAATCAGGGTTATTCTCTGTTGAAGGGCACCGTATGATTTTATCTCCTGTGGGAGTAAGAGAGAGGGGATGAGGTTGAGGACTAGGAAAAAAGAAGGATAGAACTCTCGATACTTGGTGAGAAAAGTTTGTAACTCCCAGCTTCCGGGAGGACTGCGTCGCAAGTCGGTGACGTTGACGAAGCGATATGAAATTTTGTGGGTTGAGAAGGGTGCTAGGGTGAGGAGGAGAGAAAAGAAAGGAAAAGAAAAAGGATGAAGGACAGGAAGAGAGTAAAGTCAACTCTTTCCGATGATTTCGTTATGGCAACCACAAGTCAACGCTACTTCTTTATGGTGTAACTTTGCCGTAGATGCTCCCGGCAACTTTTCAAACCTGAAAAATATGAGAATTTCACGAATACTCGAATAAAGCTCCATTCCCACGCGATTATATTCCAGCATGTCTGACGTTGACCGATCGTAAACTCGTCTTAAGTTCGACTACGAAATTCGACTTCGAGCTTTGTACAAAAGGCCGTCGGGGGGATTGAACGCTATGACGTGTAAGGTCAGCCGAATCTTCCTCGCGAAGGACGTGACCGAGAGCGACGTTTAATCTCAAATAACTTTTCGAAAGTTATTTGGGAAGTTTCTGCACTCGAACAAAAGCTATACAGACAACCGAGGAATTTCCGAACCTTAAGACAGAACTTGAGATACTCGTAAGACCGTTACTTCGACCAGGCGATTTACGAAATTATGTTTTTTTTTCAGTGAACGAAGAGTTAATAGTTATCGAAACGGACGTACGTTATTTCGAGATAACGGGAAAAACTGAATCACTTACTAGTAGTGCAGCAGTTGGGAAGATACAATTACTAAACACTGGGTCCTGGTAACAAAGCACCCAACTTAGCGTGACCTCGTATAGAACCCGAAGGGAAGCACGCGTGGTCAAGGTGCATACCGCAACGGGATTAAAGCGGGATAAAAAAAAGTTTGAAAAAAACGGATAGAGGAAGAAAGAGTATACGAGCATCTGTGAACCAGGAAGCCATGAATCATAGTGCATATATCAGATTAATTCAACGTTTATATTTTGAAAATTCTTAAAATATAAACTTTGAAACGGTGGTTGCGTGGAATACTGTATGGTCGGATTTTTAGGTTTGAGAATAAAATACAAGGGGAATAATGTTGACGGGGTGTATCTTCGATGATGGCGCCAATCGACGCCACTCGCGACGAAGAGCGATGGAATTCAGAAAAATCTCATCAGGCGTCGCATTAATAATTACAACGAATGAGCAGTGTTTTGACAAAGGAAGTACATTGTGGTGTGAATAATGGGCAGGTGAACCGAGCGAGGACCCCAGCAGCATCGCCCTCCGGCCATTGTACGCACGCGTTCCTCACGTGACGTCATATCCGCTCTTATTATTTCGCTTGGCATACAGTTCAGGTATTTCGCCACTGTGGCTAATAAAGTACCTTGAACTCGTGCGGTTGCAAAAAAAGCTCTGTGATTTATAGCCTCAGGACATGTCGGACGAGTGTAAAAATTTTTCACGAAGGATGTTAATTATTATTATTTCCGTTTCCATTCGAAACCCTTTCGGTTGAATTTGTTCTTTTTTTTTACCTCCCTATAAAACGGAAAGCAAGTCAACTTCCAAACGGGAAGTCGCGTTCCGCACCGATCCGAAAAAACAATCGAGAGCTCCCTTTCACTGCGGCAAAACTGATGGAGTCTCGAGTGATTGATACACGTGAAATGTTTTTACGAAAATAAGAAACTTCATTGTGGAAAATTGGACGGTTATACGATTTTTCATTTCTTTTTTAAACTTAAAAATTTTCATAACTGCATACGCATGCTGTAAGTTCATAGTGGTCAATTCAATGGTGAAGTGCCGATCGTATTCATTTAATTTCTCATATGATGTTTAAGACTGAAATCATATGTAGTAAGTTCCTATATTCCACCAGCTATACATATAAAGACAGAATTTAACATTACAGCATGCAATCTCCTTCAATTCTGGTATTCTACTTAAACGATGAGCGACACAGTTATCACGAATGGACGAACCTAGTCAAATTACTCGGTTAATGAGAATCCGGTAAGTTTCGTTAATAGAGTCTGAAGTCCTTCGAGAATACCACTTTCTACATGACAAACTTGAAGCACTTGCCTAATTAAAAACCAAGCACCGACAAAGTCATCGTCAAACAACCCACGAGAATTTGTACAAGAAGTAATATTTAAGCATCCATTTCCAAACAGATTTTACTCTCTCGTAAGCTTCTAAAAGCAGCGTCGTAAAGCAAAGCATGTCTAGTCGTCTGCTCGTCGGTTGTATCGCCAGTGAAAATTTACGATCCGTGTAAAAATGAAATGCCTCGGTACTCGCGTGGACCCGAAAAACTAACGTAGCCACAGCAGCAGTCGATAGTCGACAATTTCCTTCGATATTAATAGAAGGCATAACTTACCTCATAAAACTCGGTAAAAGTTGTGAAGCTACCAACTATACTAAGTA